GCGCAGTGAACTAATTAAATTACGATTTAAAGAATCTGCACCTAATTACGTGGTTGTACATTGGGATGGGAAATTATTACCAGACACTAAAATGAGAAATACAACTGTAGAACGACTACCGATTGTGATAACATGTACGAATATCGAGCAAATTATAAATGTTCCGCAACTTGAGCGGTCGACAGGCGAATAACAGGCTGCAGCTGTGTGTAATGCATTACAAGAATGGGGATTATGTGATATTGTTCAGGCATTGTGTTGTGATACAACTGCATCCAATACAGGACGCTTAAATGGAGCATGTATTTTAATTGAACAAAAACTCGGTAAAGACCTATTATATCTTCCTTGTAGGCATCATATTTATGAGCTAATTTTGAGATCTGTTTTTGAAATTAAAATACCAGAAGTTACATCAAGCCCAGCCATTCCATTATTTAAAAATTTTCAAAAACAATGGCATAAATTAGATATTAACAAATATAACATCGGAATTGAAGATCAGGCATGTGGCGCTGCTTTAGAAAATGTTAAAGAAGATATTCTGAATTTTGTTAAAAGTAAATTAGAAACTAAACATCCTCGTGGAGATTATCGTGAATTTTTTGAGTTAATATTTATTTTTATTGGCGGTAATTTGGAAAATAAAATAAAAATGCATCCTCCCGGAGCCATGCATCAAGCCCGGTGGATGGCACGAGCAATTTATTGCTTAAAAATATTTTTGTTTAGAAGCCAATACAATATTTCCGACTTAACAAAAAAAGCAATCGGTGAAATTTGTGTTTTTATTATTAAATTTTACGTCAAAGCTTGGTTTACTTGTCCATTGCCAAATAAGTCCCCAAATCAAGACTTACAATTTATAAAAGATATGAAATTATATGAAGTATTTGATAGAGAAATATCTAGAGTATCAATTCAAAAATTATGCAACCATTTGTGGTATTTAACTGAAGAGGCTGCTGCATTATCTTTCTTTGATGATTCTATACCACTAGAGGTAAAGCGTCAGATGGTAAAAGCCTTAAAAAAAAAAGCGACAAAATATCCGGCCAAACGATTGATAATTAAACCAAACCAAATAGATGATAAATTTATTGGTAAGTAAATAAACATTAAGTTTAAAAATATATTGAATACGTTTAATAATTCATAAAATAAAAAATAAGCAATTAATTATATTTAATATTATAATTTTTACAGAAAAAAATATTGACGCATTTATAACAGAAGAAAGCTTAAAACTATTTTCCCGATTTAACATTGATGACGGATTCTTAAAACATGATCCGACTTCCTGGGAATCTAGTGAAAGTTAATAAAATGGTAAAAAAATTATTAATTCATTAAAAATAGTTAACGATACTGCAGAGAGAGCCGTGAAGTTGATGGAAGAATACAATTCTACACTCACATGAGATGAAGAACAAAAACAATTTATACTANTTATGCCAGTACAAAATTGGGTTTTTGTTGGTGCATTAGTATTTTTTCTGTAGCGTTTAGAAACGAACATGTTTTTTTCTCTTGCCGAAAACGATGTGTGACGAAAAACATGAGCAACGGATAAACGTAAAATTTTCTCGTTAAACTAAAAAAAACTCCAACTGAGTGCTATAAGTTGTTAAAAGAGGCCTATAGTGAGGATTTCCTATCTCGGGCGCGTGTTTTTGAGTGGCATAAATTATTTTCTGAAGGTCGAGAGTGCACCGGAATCCAATTCAGTCGTAATCCAAATTCAAAACCATGCTGATCGTTTTCTTCGATATCAACGGCATCGTGATGACTGAATGGGTTCCAGAGGGTCAAACTGTGAACCAACATTACTATTTGACAGTTTTGGCAACATTGCGCGAATGAGTTCGTAAGAAACGGTCGATATTGTGGAAAAACAAGTCGTGGATCTTGCACCAGGATAACGCACCTGCCCATAACGCGCTGTCTGTGAAGCGTTATTTGGCCGCTTAAGGCACTCCAGTACTCGAACACGCGTCTTACTCACCCGACTTGGCACCCTGCGACTTTTACTTGTTTCCGAAGATAAAGTCTGCCTTAAAAGGAATCCGGGTTGAGTCGATGGAAGAGGTGAAACAAAAATCGGCGGAACTCCTGAATGGTCTTACGAAAACAGACTTCCAGCACTGCCTCGAGCAATGGAAGAAACGAATGAAACGGTGTGTGAAGTGGGGAGGAGAGTATATTGAAGGGGAGCATTTGAATATAGAATAATTTTTATAATAAAACACTTTTCATAAGCAGTCTCGTTATTTAATAGGCAGACCTCGTAGACTCTTTTTAACCCATTAAATCAATTATGCGTTAAATACTTTTATTTACTCAAATTAGTGAACGATCACCTTTTTGACGGAAAAATGTCAATTTCTCAATAATAATTTAATTTACTTAAAACCAAATTTAGACGAAAAATTACTAGAAGCAACAAAATTTACTCCGTCAATACTAATAATTTCAGCTACCATTGGTTTAACAATGATGTTTATTTATTATTTTGTGGACTGTGAGCAACTTTTCAACCAGAAATCTCTCCGATGTATCTTCTTGGTACTTGATTTTCCAAGCGGGTATTCAGAGGTTCGTATTTAGTACTTATAGGCCCATAAGCTCAACTTGTTGTGTGGGCCCTACCAGATAATTTTAAGAAAATAGGAAGGCCATATGCATAAATAAAGGGAGCTAGATAGACTAAGCCCCTCTAAAATATACATCTTGTATATTTCCCAAAATTTCAATGGCTAAGCCCTCTCACAATTTTTTTTTTTATATCTTATTATAGAAATCGTAAAAGAGTGTTCAAAGTGGACCTTCAGCCTTCCCCTTCTCCCCGAACTGTACCTAATTGCAGTACCTACATAGTACATACATATAGATATGAGATAGTAAATAGCGGTTAAATGGGTAAAACAGTAATTCCAAAAATATGATTTAATAATTAAAATGTAACTTGAAGATTTACATTTGGTATGAACGAATAACTGCGAACGCGTGCCGTCACACGACTTCGTTAACACACTATACACAGTCAATCCCCCACGCATTGTGAATATTTTATTGTTGCCCAAAAATCTAAACGGAGCAAAAACAAAGAAAATCAGCTACAAATAATTCTGTGTTGAAGTTTTTGAAAAGAACGCTGGATCTGACATACGTATTACAATTTGAAATTGATCAAAATTCACTATTGTTCCGGTGAGATTATATTACAGTCTTCTGCAAAAAGTGCTATAACCCAATAAGTATACTGCGTAAATAAACTGCGTGTACTTCGTATGTAATTATTAAATACTTTCACTTATATATTACCCTTGGTAGATTTTGTCAAAATCAAATGAAATACCTATGCATCAAATTTTTTATATTGCCAACAAAAGTACATAGACTTTAAATTTATGTAGACACTATGTTTATACATGAACTGTAGTCGAGCAAAATATTTATAAAACAATTTTCAAACGACAAATGTGTTGATGAAGTTTGTTTACTATCCATTGTTATTCATAAATTGTATAGGTATTAACTGCACTTCGGTTTTTTTGCTAGTGGAAGCTACCAGCATCTGTAAATTGATGGTGGGGTCTCAGTTAGGTGTGACTATTTCGTTTGTTTTAAAATTTAGCTGTCAATTTTCAAATACAATTGACATAATGTTGTCCTATGAGATTTTATTTTAATGATATCAAATATTCATTATCTTAACGAAGTCTGAGCGTTGTCTTGTTACTAAAATAAACGAAAATAAAATATAATGGCTTGTTCACAACTAGTTGACAATTATACTGAAAGAAAATCCTCGTCGGAGGTTTAAAAGAAACTGACGTCGTAAATAACAATTTGTGGCCTATGATGTCAAGAACAAAGTATGTTTCGACACCGCACAAAACAAATATTTTAATGCTAAAATGGTGTCTTTCGGTTTTGATAAATTGTTTGAATGATAATTGTCTTTCCCAAAGAACTAAACTTTCATCAATAGCCAATTTTTAAAAGGAATCATTGCTTCTTTGAAATTTTTAGTTATTTTTTGCAAGAACACACGCATTTTTTCTAGTCTGTCTCCGGGTACTTGATCTTTATTCTGATTAAAATGAAGCGTACGCAATATTATCTGATTCTTATTTCGATTCTATTTCCCAAATATCAGTTAATATGATAAATGGTCCATAAACCAGTAGTCTGCTATTTCTAATTTTTTACTCCTGGCCATAAGCATTGTTATTGCTAAGAACACAAATATTTCTTCACTATCACCCAATGATTGACTTTAAAAAAATTTAATATTTTTTTATAAAAAACTTGTATGATATATAACTTATAATAATACAGAACATGTTTATGAAACATATTATGTAACACACGTTCATTGTGTTACTATAATATGACATGTATATTGCTGCTAAAACATCATTATAAACTAAACTCTGCTCAGAATCGGTTTTTCGTAAGCAATGGTTTGTTGTGGCTTACAAGTTTAGAAAATATACATTAAATTATCTATAACATTGATGTACCCGTTTCCATTATCCTAGAACGTTTTTTGTTGTATTTATGATTTTTTAGCGTATATTTGAGTATTTTATATTTAATACCGTTTTTGCAATGCACTTTATTGTGCATATATTTTTCACGTATTTCAAAATGTTATAAACCGACGTTTTATTAAGGCATATTTCAGTGCATCAATGTCTGCCCTTCACACAAAGGGAACGATCGGTTACGGTAACGAACCTTATTAAATAACGCCTAACGAAAAACGTGTTTATTTTTAAGACGAAAAAAAAGGAAAAAAAAAAAGGAATAATAATAATATATATTTTTTTATATGAATTAATACACGCGCTCATCGTCGATACGATAAATAAAATAATATAGACTTTAATGTCTGATAATGATTCGCGTTTTACAGATACAGTATATTATAGTATTATGATTATTATATAGGTACACTTATTGCAGTAATCGTACAGTGATTTAAATAATTACGCGCGTATAGGTACAGAATAATTGAACGAAAAATGAAAAAAAAAAAAAAAAAGTCACATTTCATATTGTATTTTACGAGGTACAAGCGGCACAAAACAACGAAACTAAGTACAACATGTAAATAATCGTATTGTTTTATAATACGTCGAAACTTAAAACACTAATTTTCCTTCGCCGCCGCCGCCGCCGTCGCCGTATATATCGATTGTATAATAGTTTTGCGATACAACAATAGGTAATGCAGCGGGGGGG